AGCAAGGCATGAGCAGGGGAAACTGGTTGTCTGGGTGCAGATGAGATTGTGCTCAAACATCAGCTGTGTCAGCAGCCTCTATCTAGTCTGGCCGTGCACACATTTGGGGTGCTTAAGAAGTCCCTGCTGAAAGGTAGAATGACATGGGAAAATGGCATGGTGGAGAAAAGGGCAGAAGGAAATGGGACCAATGGCTGGAGGGCTTTCTTTTTTTAAAATAATTTTTTTAGTTGTAGTTGGGCACAATACCTTTATTTTGCTTATTTATTTTTATGTGGTGCTGAGGATCAAACCCAGGGCCCTGCATGTGCTAGGTAAGCACTCTACCACTGAGCCACCATCCCAGCCCTGGAGGGCTTTCTATATGGGCAGAGATGTTGGTATCTGCTAGGACCATGATGAAGACACCATATCATGGGGTCTGAGCAGGGAAAGCTCTATGGGGCTGGTGACACCTTGACTCAGGGTGGGTGGGCTAGGTTCAGAGCCGTGTCTGGATTCCTAGCCCTTGCTCCCCAGATCTGGACTGCGGGGACAGAAATCAAGGACACCTTCCCTCAGCCCTGCTCTGCCCTTACTCCTGGAGGGAGCCAAGTGTGGAATCCTTTGCCCACTCCTCCCTCCCCCAGATCCTCTCTGCTCCCAAGTCACCTTGCAAGGTTAACAGTGTGGGGAGCAGTCTAGTCTTCCCTCCCACCCTATTTTCTCTTTCACTGCCTCCCCCAGCTCCTCCTAACCCCTCTCTAACAGGCACTGGACCCAGACCCCCCACAGACTCCCTGAGTTACATCCGTTTCCAATCACAGGAGTGTGAGAATGTAAAATCACCCAGCAGGCCTCTCCTTGGCCATAAGCCTACATCTTCATTCCTCAAATTGCATTAAGTTATTGGTCAACAGATGTGGTCAAATCACTCATCCTATTTCCAGCCCAGAATCTGCCAATGCCTTCAGAAAGAGAGGAGAGGGGTGATAAGCCTGTCTTTGGGGAGCTGGGGATTGGAGACTTTCAGGATTCCTATTTCTATACCTCCCTTTAGAAATTGGGCAGGATCCAACCCCCTGAATCAGGTTACTGACATCACCAGCGCCCACTGCCTGCCCAGCCAGGCCTTTCCCTGGTCACATAGCCCCTTCGTTGATCTTTGACGGCTCTTTAGTGAACCATTCGAAGCCTGCCATTGTCACAAGATGGGTGAGAAAGGGGAAAATGGCCAAGTGGGAGGGCTTGGGGCTGGGCTTGGAGATAGTGTGACAGGGCAGGTCCCTCTCTTTTTAGGAATGACTCGAGGAAACGCTCTGCACATATTGGCTTTATCATATTGGCGTTATCGACTGATGCCGAATGACTGTTGCCACAGCAGCAGAGCTCTCCCACTGCAGAAGAGGATGGTGGGAAACTCAGGGGATGTGAAAGGAATCAAAAAAGAGACTGACCGAGTGAGAGGTCCCGTTAGGGAGTGTCAGAAAGTTCCAGGATGCCAAGATGACTATTTAAAGAAACCATTACCTGGTCATGGCAAAACCCTTTAAAAAATGACAGGAGGAAAGCATACTGTGTGGACAGAGGAGATGCACTGGTGATTTTCATCTTGGATCTGTCAGGTGATGTGTCCACAAAGGAGGGACTGGGGCAGTAGGTTTTTTTTTTAAATTTATTTTTTAGTTTTAGGTGGACACAATATCTTTATTTTACATTTATGTGGTGCTGAGGATCGAACCCAGTGCTTCATGCATGCTAGGTGAGCGCTCTACCACTGAGCCATAACCCCAGCCCCCTGCCCCCCACCCCCCACCCCCGGGGCAGCAGGTTTTGATGGTGTGGAGGAGGCTGTGCCTTTTTCTGGGCAACTTGTTCTTCCCCTCTCAATAAGGAGAATTTCAGGAGGTGTTTATTAAGGGATTTGGGAAATATGCCATCCTATGAGAGGAGGGACAAAGGAACAAAGAAAGAGCCACTAGGATGAACTACACATCAGATGAGGGAGTGAGGTAACCAGAAAGGAAGGCAAGCAGGCCAGGTCCCAGGGGCAGTGGACATCCAGTGTCAAGGAAGTGCAGATGAACAGAGCAACAAATGGACGAGTGTTTCATAGCAACTCTGAAGACTTTCATCTAGAGACGTGGATACCAGAGATGAGGGGCCAAATTCAGCAAGGAAAGGGGCTGCAGCAGAGTACACTGGGTGGAATGGGTCACAGGGCACATGATGGTTTTCAACCAGGATGATTACCCGTAAATTTCTCTTTGCTAAGGAGGAGATGAATTTRTGTGCAGGAAGAAACCTGCAGACAACGATCAAGAGCTAGTGTAACCTAGTCAATCATACAATAGGCATCCTCAGATTCTCAAATAGCTATTTTTAGGAAAGGTGAGGTTCCCTGTGATTGAATCAGGGGCATCTTGTATGAATTAGAGAATGAGTGCACAAGGATGAGGACTTTGGAAGTGATGGTCTGCAATTTTATTACAAGTGGCCTGTGGGATGGGGAGGAAGGGAGTGGTCATGTTTACTCAAAGATTTGGCATCAAAGTTGGGGCTTGATCCCCTGCTTGAACTGGGATCTTATGTTTATGCAGAAGCCTGAGTATCTCGTGTGTCCCATGACTGGCCTCATCCCTTGGCTCGGAGCCTGGCCAAGTTCTGGCGTGATACGACTTACATCCCTTTAACTAGCTCCTTATTGCTGGTCATTTCCTATCTGGACTCATAAGCCCTAGCTCCACCCTGAGTTTCCTGAGTTTTGGACTCGGGCCTCTGAGAATGGTGTGCCTCGTGCCCCTGCCTTAGGACTATCTGGCAAATTCTTTTACCCAACTCCTTTCCTCTACTGCTTTGAGGTGGTGCCTCTTATCGTTCCTGCTTACCTGTGATGAACGTGTGACATTGCTTTTTCATAGGGACCAGACTACTATTTCCCTAAGTGTTGTATTGTCTATCTTGCATTTCCCTGCCAGACATTGAGTTCCTTGAGGCTAGAATCTCCCTCTTTCTCTGTATCTCCAAGGTCAGCCAAGGGTCCATGCTTCTTACCAAACACCTTTCTGCTTGAGAATTCTATATTCTCAGTACTRGGAAGGCACATTCTCTTGGCCAAGATCCCTGTACACGAAGACTTTGTGGTATCTCAGTTCAACCCTTTGATCATGGAAGGCAGGGAGTCTTGGGCTACCGCCAGGACCAAAAGATCATGCAGGATACCAACCCGGTATCTACCAGGCAGGCCTTGGGATCCATTTAACCAATACTGCTGAGATACCTGCTCCACATAAGTGCTGGAGAGACAGCTCCATGCTGGGAGAGCTCCTATGCTGTAGGGAGACAGATGCATACAGAAGTACCCCTCTCACTAGGTAGGGCTTGATGCTTAGTACTAGGAGAGTGGATGAACCAGAAGACTCAGTAGACCCAGRGGTCTTCAAATCTAGCAGGAAGAAAGGGAGCAACTAGAAGATCCTGGGGGTGGTGGGGATGGAGAGTAATCGATAGTTACCACATTCTGGCAGAGTTCTTAGGGCTTTACAATCCCCAGCCCACAGCTCCAGCTGGAGCCTGCCCTTCTGAAGTAAGCTTTCAGAATTCCCCTCCACTTTCTGCTGTCCCTCACCTCTCCTGAGAGCCTTTTGCTCTGGCAACCTGGTCTTGGGAGGACCTGGGAAGACTAGCAGTGTGGCCCTCTACTGTCCTAGGCAAAATGCTGCCTACCATTTGGTTCTTGCTCCCTCTTCCCCGGGCCCAGGAGGTGCGGAGRGGAGAGAGATGGGTTGGGTAAGTGTCTTTTTAAATGGTTCTGCAGCACTGATTCAGCTCTGGAAGGTAAGGGACCAGGGCTCATCCTCCCCCTGGTTTGACAGAGGGCTTTAAGTTCTAAAGCTCTTTTACCTAAGAAGCTGGTATTATAATCATTGTGAGAGGGACAGACAACCAGAGGGGTTCAATGACTTTGACAAGGTCACGCAGTCAATCAGAAATGGAACCCAGTCTTCTCATCCGAAGGGTCAGTCCCTTCCTCCAAAGAGCTCAGTCGGCTCCCCAGCAAACCCCTGGCCCTGTCTTCTCCAAGCCTCCCCTGTCCTATCTCCTGTCCCCTACCTTCTGGGTTCAGGAAAGCAACCTTGCGCCTCAAAGACTAAAGTAAGGTAGGATGGGAATTTCCTGTGGGAAAACCAAGGATGGTTTGGGTAGGGGGCAGGGACCTTCCCAATGTCTTTTCAGGTCCCACTCTCTGCCCTTTTATCCCGAGCTGCCCTCTTCAGTCCCTTTTACCTGCACCCCCACATTTCCTCAATTAATCCTTTCTTCCGGATGCGGCAGGAGACCACCAGTGCCCTCCAAGAACCTGCCTTGCCACGGCGGCGCGGAAAGCGAGAAGAAAACCTAGTGGGATCCTTTATGTGCCCCCTACCCCCCACTCATCCGCCCCTGGAGCGCCTGCTTGCAGATACCTCCCCCTCCCGAGCCAGAAATAGACACATTCTCTCTCCCCCACCTCCCTCCCTTCGCGCTCACTCCTCCCCTCCTCCAGTTTGCTCCCCGCCTTCGCCTCCCCTCCTTCCCGGGCTCGGAGCTGCAGCCTGCAGCCTCTACTGGAGCAAGGCGGGCGGAGTGCGGCGAGGGCGCTGCCGGGCAGTGCACTGCCCGCGGGACTGACAGGCCGGCCAGGGCGGCCACGATCCTGCTCCAGGCTTCGATGGAGCAGCGGGGTTTCCATCTTTTCTTAGACTGATTTAAATTTTTTAATTTGTATTTTTCCCGCCCCGCCCCCTTTTCCTCCGACCCCGCCCCATCGCTTCACGGTTTCCCTGCTCTTTCCTTTTCCTGGTCTCCCTTCCCCGCGTTTCTTTCCCCGGTCCCTCCGCTCGCCTGCCCCACTCCTCCCTTGCTCCCTCCCCCTTCCTCTTCCCTTCTTCCTCGGTTTCTTCCGTCCTTTCCCTCCCCCTCCTCTTCTGCCGCCTCCTCCTCCCTGCGCCCCCGCCCCTCCCCCCGCCCCGTGCCTGCAGACGCGCGGATCGTCCATGCGCTCCTCGCGGGCAGAATGCTGGGCAGCAGCGTCAAGAGCGTGCAGCCCGAGGTGGAGCTGAGCGGCGGCGGCGACGAGGGCACGGACGAGCCGCGAGGAGCCGGCAGGAAGGCGGCAGCGGCGGACGGCAGAGGCATGCTGCCCAAGCGCGCCAAGGCGCCGGGCGGCGGTGGCAGCATGGCCAAGGCCAGCGCTGCTGAGCTGAAGGTCTTCAAGTCCGGTAGCGTGGACAGCCGTGTTCCCGGCGGTCCACCGGCCTCCAACCTGCGCAAACAGAAGTCGCTCACCAACCTCTCGTTCCTCACAGACTCAGAGAAGAAGCTGCAGCTCTATGAGCCGGAGTGGAGCGACGATATGGCCAAGGCACCCAAGGGTTTAGGCAAGATGGGGTCCAAGGGCCGYGAGACTCCGCTGATGTCCAAGACGCTGTCCAAGTCTGAGCATTCACTCTTCCAGGCCAAAGGCGGCCCGGCGGGCGGCGCCAAGACCCCCCTAGCTCCTCTAGCGCCCAGCCTGGGAAAACCCAGCCGGATCCCACGCGGACCTTATGCGGAGGTCAAGCCGCTCAGCAAGGCGCCAGAGGCGGCGGTCAGCGACGACGGCAAATCGGATGATGAGTTGCTCTCCAGCAAGGCCAAGGCGCAAAAGGGTTCTGGGCCTGTGCCCTCCGCCAAGGGCCAGGAGGAGCGCGCTTTCCTCAAGGTGGACCCCGAGCTCGTGGTAACTGTGCTGGGCGACCTGGAGCAGCTGCTCTTCAGCCAGATGCTGGGTAAGTCCTGCCGCCCCGCCCCACCCCGCCCCTGGCGCTCTTCTGGCCAGCTGCAGGGGAAGGTGCCAGCGAGGTGGGGACGGTCGGAGCTTCCTCCCTTGCCCCAGCTCCGTAGGGCTCTCCTGATCACCGGTCAGATTAGAGGGGGTATTGAGCCCAGATGTGCAGACCCACCTCTAGATGTGCACAAAGTACGTCTTAAAGATGTTACCTGGCTGGAGTCCAGGCCCTACTCTGGCCTGCGGGAGGTGAACCCTGACAATGGGGTGAAGGACTTAGATTCTCAGACATAAGCCCATTGGTTTCCATTGTTTTCCTCGAATTTTAAAGTCCAGAATCCTAAAGAGACAATATCTGGGGCTGGTGGAGACTACAGCTGTGGAGTGGTCTGCACTGTGCCAGATAGCATCCAGCACTGGTAGGGAAGCGTCCAGGGAGAGCCTAGATCTAGAGGACAGATGTGAGGAGAGCAGATGTGAAGGCCTGTTGGCCCTAAAGCAGAGCTGAGGCTCCACTTCCTCTGGATCCCGGGTGGGAGCGCGAGTCGGATTTCCCGGGTGTGGGGGTTCTGGCAAGGAGAAGTGTCTGGGGCCAAGGGGCRGGCGGACAGCCAGCTGCGCGCATCTGGATGCGCCTCCTATACCTCAGCCCAGACTCTAGCTCCAGACCCTACCCCCACTCCCACCCCAGGTCGTTTAGTGGAAGGTCTAGGCTTTTGCACCCAGACCTCTGTTTGACAGGGCAGCCTTTGCCCTTTGGCTAATGGAAGCAGGCGGGAAGGGAAGAACAAAGCTTGCTGGAGTGGAGGAAGCTCAGAGAGCTGCTCCATTGTTCTCTGAGCCTGAAGAGTTCATGCAAAAAAACCCGGAGCGGGCCAGGGAAGTGCTCTTGCTTTCCCTAGGGCCGGTGCCCTCACAGAGGGACAGATCCAGGATGTGCAGGACACAAGGCTGCGGTGCCTTGGGAGCCCATATGGGCGGTSCTGGGGCCACGCGCGGACGGCGGCAAGGCCTGGAGCCCAGGCTAACTGCCTTGGTTGAACAGACTTGTTGCTGTGCCTAGAAAGTGGATCCTCAGGCCCCGGCGCCTAGGGACCCTTCCCCGGTACCCTGCAGGGTGGCTGCCCCGCTGGGGGCTGGGAAGGGGCGTGTCTGTGCGCGTGTGAAGGGGTGGAGTCGAGTGATGGGCGGGCCGGTGGGGATGGATGGATGGATGGATGGATGGATGGATGGATGGATGGATGGATGGAAGGAAGAACTTGCCTGGCTGCCCAGGAGAATGAGAAGCTGAGGGAGATGGGTTTGGCCTGCTGCAGGTTTCCTGCCCCCACTCCTGCCCCCCCCCAACTCCAGTGTGGGCCAGGATAAGGATCCCTTGACCAGGGACAAGGATTTGGCCTTTCTGAGAATGGATCCTCTCGGAGGAGGCTGCAGATGGGTTTTACAGAGGCAATCAGGAAACTGGGCAAGGGCAAAAGGGGAAGAGCAGTCTTGTCCCTGGAGAGCCYCTGAAAGCTCAGGCCTCATCAGGGAGGAGTAGAGGTGGGGGGTGGGGGTGCATCAGTGACAAGGCAGCCYCACCCTGAAAAGAGAAATTGCCACCTGTGCTCACTGCCTGCTGAGTCGGCCGGAGGCCCTGCCCTCAAGGAGCTTGCAATGGGACAAGATAGTCGCTAATAAATAAAATAATTCCAGGCGGTGGAGAAGATGAAACTGGATTGTGTGCTGGAGAGATACTGGGCAGGCCTGCTGAGGCCTCTCTAAGGAAGTGATAATCCAATTGTGACTGAAGCTTGAGAAGGAGGCACCAGGCTGACTGGGATGAATGTTGCCTGAAGGACTAAAAGGAGGGGGGGGGGCGGACCTTCACTGTGATTTGGGCAGGGGAAGTGGATAGGGGCATGGAATAGCAGAAGGCACAAATCCACTTCCAAGGTCAGGGCTTCCCCTGTTTGGTTGGCTTAGCTGATCTGGCCCTTCCTAGACCTGGCAGTCCCMACACTACCCCCAGGAGCTGGGCTGTTAATTGCTTCTCAAAAGGGGTAACCATGGAAACCCTAACAAATAGGCCTAGAGCTGGTTGAGGGTGGCAGGGGAAGCTGAACTGTAGTCCCTTATGTGTGCTGTGCATGGGCCACCAAAGTTGTCCTGATGACCCCATGGAGAGCTGAGGGGCTTCTCTCACAGGTGGAGATTCAGGGGTGGAAAGTCTGAGGAGCTTGCTGGACTGTCATCAGCTAAGAGGTAGGGTATGGGCCCAGGCCCTAGAACTGTGCTTGGCATCAGCTATGGGTGCAGCTGGTAACTCCAGGCCAACTTCTGTGTGAAGGTGGACCTGGAGGATGGACTGATCAGATGAGGGTGAAGGGGACAGTATACCCAATGAACCTTGCAGGGCCTGTGAGGGTGTTCCCAGTGTGGGGATAGGCCCTTGTTGGAGGGCAGTGTGGCCTCTGGAGGGAATGGCTATTTCCCTGTTGCTGGAGATAAGGGTATTTTTCCCCACCCATGAGTCTCAGTGTCAGGTTATGCTCATTCCCTGAGACTATCTCAGACCTAAGAAGGTACCTAGATCCAATTTCTGAGGCAGAGGGTGTGGGGAGGTGAGGTAACCCCAAACAAGAGCCTTTCTGGAATAAAGGGGAAAAMAGTGAAACCTGATCATCCTCTTTCCAGAAATCAGCTGGGGCCCAGATGGTCTAAACAGGTTCCCTGTCCCTTCTCCAGCCTTGGAAGCTGCCAAGTAACCAGGGTCCCCCTGGGGAACTGTAGAAACTAAGAAGACTGAGGGGTAGATCCCAGAGAGAAGAGACCAATTCCAGGAAATCAGATGCCTTTGGAACCTGGCCGATCTTACACATCAGGCAATTTGTCTCCCAGAAGGCCACCAGGCCTGCATCTAGGGCAGGGCAGGAAGCTGCATTCCACATTTGCCTGTCCAGAAGTCTTAAGCTCTCAGTTCTCTTCTGGGACTCAGTTTCCCCATTTGCGAGTGAAAGAGAGCCTCGCTTGGCTCAATCATACCCTTTAGGGATGGGGGGGCGGTGGCGATTAAACCTTGAAAATGTCCTAGGTGGCTTCAAGAGAACTTAGATTAGTGCACAGCTGAATTAGTGCACAAAGAAACGTCCCCAGACCACACTCTTCCTCCTCATGGGCCCAGGCCCCAAGGATCTCAAGTGAAATCTGTCTGTGGACTCCCCGAAAAGTTCAGCGTTTCTCCATTTTGTCCTCCTAGAAAAAGGGACAAGGTGGAGCAGTTAAGACTGCCCAAGGTTAGGTGTGAAAGAGCCTAGGAACTTGGAGTTCCTAGTTGTACCTCCCCACAGAAGGTGTCTGGCACCCACCCCAGGGTTACCATGACAACATTTAGGTCCTCAGAAGCACAGGACAAATAGGATTGAGGAAGAAAGGCAGGAAGCTACCCATTTCTAAGCCACTTGGTTGCCATGGGTTTTTTTGTGGGGGRGTGGGCAGAAGGAGAGAGTTACTCCAGAAAATGTGCTCTTGGATGCTGTGAGTCGTGGAGGGATGAAATGTCCTTCATATTCAGTTCTTTAGGGGGCAGGTGGGTAGAAGAGATGTTGTTAATTCTCCAAAGAATGGCTGCTGAGAGCAGACAGGTGTGTGTGTGCAAATTCACCATGCACCTCGGTGTCAGAGGCTCCACCCAGAGCCATTTCAGATGCTTCCAGGGCTTCCCCAAGGCCTGGCAGGAGAGTGTGACAAAGCTCACTTCTGCCCCTCCCCTGGGCAGCAGTAGTGGTGCTGGAGAATGCTCTGGTGTTTCCTGCAGGTGAGCCGGGACTGTATGAATCAGGAATTGGTGCAGATCCGTGCAGCTGTGAGGCCTCCCTCCTTCCTCAAGTTTGGTGCTGAGAGCATTTCTTTTTCTACCTTGTCAGGATGTTTTCTTCCAGGGCCAGGCTTGGGCCCTCACCCAAGAGGTGGCCAAGAGGTCCTGCTCCTCTGCTCTGGGCCTTGGCTTCTTCAGATTGCCTCCTCCAAAGCTGCCATTCCCAGGCAGCCCAGGCTCTGCTTCTGAGAGTGACACATGGGAGGATGAGTAGGGGGCAGACCCTCCATTCTGGGGAGAAGGTCCAGATTGAACAGACGTGTCCAAAGCTGCTGTCATTCCCCAAAGCATAAACCAATTCAGGGAGATGCMCTTTACTGATGGCTCTGTCCCCAGACCACCGGCCCCTTCTAGACCTGGAATGAATACATAACAGAGCCAAGTCACCAGGAACCCTTGGGTGTTTCCTGACACTTCCCTCTTGTTCCAGTCCTCCTCACCCGCCTGCCCTATCTGTTTTTGGAGCTACCACCACCCACCTCCTGCCTGTCCCCTACCTGGCCCCTACCTGGGCATCCTCTTCTGCTTGCTAACCTCCAGTCTTGCCCTTGCCTGCAGCTGTCCCTCCACACCCACACCCACACCTGGCAGCCTCTGACCCAAGGCTCAAGGTGCAGGTGGCTTCAATGGGCTCGAAGGAGAACCTGTCCTGCATTGAGCAGAGGCCTCAGGGACCTTAACTGCAGCTCAGCATCCTGCTGCTCCACCAGCCACCGCTGCAGCACACTGCAGTGTCTCCCTGGACAACCCGTGAGAGAGAAGTCCCCTCCTCTCTGCAGAGCACTGCACCTCCCTCAGCCTTCCCTGGGATTTCATAGAACCACAGAATAGAAATTGTCTGGTTGAGCCACCCACTTAAGCTGAAACTAATCCCATCATAGGCAGGTGGGTGTTCTGTTTACACACTCCTAGTGACAGAGGACTCACTACCTTATTTTCCTGAAAAGCATTCATTATGAGAAAGCTCTTTTTTTTTTTCTGTTGAACCAAGATTCTGTTTCCTAATAATTTCCACCCGTGGTCCAGAATTGCTCTCTGGATCTTTACAGATTAATTTAGTCTGCATTTTAGATTTCTTATATTTGAAGTCAGATACTTATGCAAGCTCTATCTTATCTTTTCTCCTTATACCTCTCCCTTCATTT